GTGCATTTTGATTTGATTATACCTAAAAAATCCATCCATGAAAGACATACGCTCGTAGTCGAAAGTCTTATCTAGAATTCTTTCTACATAGCTAGAAGATCAAAATACAAATACTCTAGGGACAATCCTCGAATAAAAACATTAATGGTGGATTGGGTTTCTTTCTTTTTCTTTGGTCCCTCCAATTTAATTAGGTTTTGTACTCCTGTTACTAGTGGGTTGTGAGAAAGCACCATGGACATTGTATAGCTTTGAGATTCGAAACACTATAAGAGGGCACATATTGATATGTTGTTTTCAAACCTTTATAAGAGCTCACAAGAACTATATACCTAATTTACGCACTCTAGTCATAATGTCAACCTTTTTTTTTTTTTAACCAACGTGTTCAAGCCAACCACGCGCATCTTGACTAATCCTCTTTGTAACAAAGGTATTCAGGTCAACTTACATGCACAACGACTAATCCTCCGGAAAGACTAGCGTAGCAACCCACCCTCCCCCCTGAATATTGAGAGCTAGGAGGATTTGAACCTGAGACCATACACCTTAACCACACATCTCAGCACTCGTCCTATCACTTGAGCTAGCCAAAGGTGGGTCTTAATGTCAACATATTTCTCAAAAATTAATTTATATATTATATTGACCGAGTTATGTTATGTTACCGCTGTGGTAAATTTATCAAATCCGTAAGAACAATAAGATTATTTTGACTTAATATTAATTTCATAATGTTATCAAATAGATAAAAAAAAAAAAAAAAAAAAACAGTATTATAATACTGGTTCAGTAATACTATAGATATTAAATAATATGATATTAGGTCATCATTATGATATTTTGAGTAAATGATACTGACATTATAGAATATATTTAGTAAGGAATTTTAATTAAAAAGAGATGATGTGAGGAGAAAGTGATTTAAAGAGAAGATATTATTTACTTGATTTAACAATTTAATTAGATAATTAATTAATGTTGTTCTCTAATATGCACTACAACTTCATTGGTTTCAAATTCATCCACCTCTACATCCTTACTCTTAACTATATACTTAATTAAGAATGTCACTACCTTTCTAGTGGAAATGTATTATATAAATGTATAGATGACGTATACTCAATGTCCTCTATATCCTTTTAAAACATTTTTTTGTCGTTATATGAAAAATATCTTGATATGTATATGTCATACAATTATTCTTTCCAGTGGAAACCTTGATGTTAAGATACAGATGTTCATTTCTGACGTCTAGATTACATTGAAACATAAACTTTTTTTATATTCTTAACGTAAGACATCTAAAATTTTATCTTTTAATATATCATGTTGTTAGGAATAAGCATCCAAACTTTAAATGAACTAGGATGTCAAAATCTGAAAATTTAACGACGTCAATCATTCTGTCTCATAGATGTCTTTATTTCTTTTTATAATACGAACGTCTCTTCTAGACATCAAGAGCTAAAAATAAGATTTCTACATTTATTTTTATTGTAAAAATTGAACGTCCAAAGTTTAAGAAAATTATAATGCCAAAACCTCAAGATTATTTTTATGACTTAATAAAATGTTAAATATATGCTAAAATCTTATATCCAGACTAGTTTATATGCATCTCTACTAATCTTCAGGGGAGACTAGTGCAACAACTTATCGCCACGGCTTCCCACTTAAATCACAGATGCTCATATAAGGAATTAAACTTGAAATCTTATATATTACGGGGAATAATTAAAACATCAACTTGTGCTTCAAATTTGACAGAACAAACCTTTTGAAGATTCTACCATAAAAAAATATGAGCTAAAAGATGATTAATATTTGCAAAGGAAAGTATGTGACACCCATTTTAGACCTTGGAAATTCTTTGAAAATATGCTTATGCTTTGTCAATTAATTAATTAATTTTATTAGGCTCCAACTTTGTGTGCACAAAAACTCATGACCAAATCTTCCTTTTAGTTGCCAACAATGAACTTATTTAATATATGGTTTACGGGTGATTGTATATATTTAAAAATTACTCTAATATCTTAAGTTCAAGATCTGGGTAAGACCTAAAAATTACAAGTGATTTACGATATTGATTCAAAGTAACTCTCGTATCTTGATTTCAAGATCTGGGTAAGACGTAGAAATATTTATACTTGCTTGATATATGATTTATGACCGATCTTATATATTCAAAATTATCATTTTTTTTAAGTTCAGGACAATACTACACTTACAACTTAATATTACAAACTTTCTTTTACAACTCCGACGTAACAGCTTATAATTGGTCAGCTCACAATAGGTCTCGTCTATCCAACAATGAGTTCCGTTTATCCAATTATGAACTACCATGTTAGGTTTTGTGAGATAAAAATTATAAGATTAAGTTGTGAGCCAATATTTTATTATTAAGTTCGAGATCTTTTTAACTTGTAATTGTATATGCTTGGAGTTTACTAAGCATCTTTTGGGAAGCATAATGAATTCACTTCAATATGCTAAATACAGTGTATTACACAACCCCAAATTGATATGAATCTCACTTTTGTCTTTGCACCTACCAAAAACATTTTAATATATGATCAGAAATAGATCTGGGTAAATCAGAGCCGTTCGATCTGATTCCTCTTGGAGATTCATATTCCCCTAAAAGATTCTGACTTTCAATTAAAATATATAAATAATTTGATTATAATACTATCAAGTTGAGATTTTACTAAAGTGTTGCTGCTCTGTCTCCTGGATTCCTTCAACAAATTAAAGAGATTTTTGCTCCTCTGGAAAAGCAAAATGTTAGAATATATTCATTAAAAATTGTAACCTTCAAAATTTAGGTAAACAAGACACCAACATTTGAAAGTGACCAGATTTTTTATTCTATAATCTTCTTGTTTGATTTTTATGCAATATTTTGTCACTTAACTAAGCAATATCGTCCGTTTTAGTATTATAAAGTCTTACGGTTTTGTTTTTATGTTTCAAGTCCAAAACTATTGAGTATAGGCTTGGCTTATTAGACGCTCACCCTAGCGATGTGGGAATTACTATTATCAACTTCATATTTGTTCTTTCTTATAGATTGATGAAACGTATTCAATAACATGTGGTCCTTAAGATAAATGATTATAATAGAATGATTGAGACTCGTAAAATAGATATAACCTGGACGAGATATGAACTATATACCTAAATTATCACAATTATCAACCCCACACTTGCCTATTAGAATGGGATGAACCTTATTCCATTTTTGTGTGGTCCTTAAGTTGATGAATTGTAGTGATCAAGACTCGTAAAATTACACAAGTTGTAAAGGAAATCTCTAGATATAACATGAATTAGAATAATTAAAAAATATATATATTGAGCTATTTTTTTAGAATAATTAACCCATTAAATATTTATAAATTTTATGTGGGGTTTCTCAATATAGGCTCTATATAATTTTAAAAATTGGCATTAATTAGGGGAAATAAATAATCAAAATATGAATATGAATGAAGAAAATATTTGAAATAAAATAAAGTCCAAAGTAATCAATCTCTTTCAAACAGTTGGGAAGTCACGGCATCAAACTAAATGTCAAATTACATCATCAATTTTAAAAATGAATTTAGTTGACTATTATGTACTTAATTCCAAATGGTCAAATTCAGATAGTGATGCTTACTTGAAACAATAAAATTTTAGCCATAATTTTATGAATAATACTACACCAACAATCTTCTTCTACAAACTTTCTCTCACAAGTCATAATTGTAAACTTGTTATAGTGATGGTCAGTTTTTAATATTAATTCAATGTGAACTTACAGAGGATTCTTCGTCACGAAAGTCAAGACATCTCATTACTTAGATAAAATATGTTTGGATTTGTTGAGTTTGTATATCTGAGAAATTATTTGATGATAGAAGTGGTAATGGGCTGTGCCGTGGACTTAGGATTTGGCATATGAGGTGTGAAGTACCGGCCCACGAATTAAAAAAAAAATAAAAATTTTAAATTGTTTGAGAAAAACCTATGTGGCATGTGGGCTGACCCACAAAGACACGACATAGCATGACCCACAGGGCCATGGGCTGTGCCATGGGCCTTGAGTTTTGGTTGTCTGGTATGGCACGGCCCACATTTTTGTGAGCCATGGCATGGCACAACCCATGGCATGTGTGGGCCGTGAAAATTTTGGCCTGGTACAGCCCACCGCCACCTCTATCCGATGAGTAAGACAGCACAAGCACAAGCTCCTTCCTCCTTCTAGATCAAACAACATCTAATAGCTTCCTAGTTTTACAGCAGGATTCATTAAATGAAGTTTACTTATTACTCAACCATTTATACACTTGCCATGAACTATAGCTAACAAAACCAACGACCTTTTAACAAAAACGAACTTTCTTTGTTAGTTTTAACTAACATAACTAACACAACAGACTTCTCTTTTATTCTGTACAGCAAGATAAGCTAAGCTGATCCTAAGTTTTTAAACTTCTTCTTCTACATTCTGTTCATCTGTAAAGAATTCACAGACAATTCCTACGCTCTGATTGTGAAGAATGGGTTGTTTATATCAGATGCTTTTGTAGAGACTACTTTGTTAGAATTTTCTGAAGGTTCTATTGTGGGTGTTTTTTTCAGGATTTATTTGTGAACAATATTTGGAATCAGGAGAATAGATACATGGTTTAGTGATTAAAAATGGTTTTGACAATGAAGTTTGGGTTTCAGCAATGTGTATCCATCCGACTGAATTGGTTTCATTGGAAGATCTTTTATTCTCTTTGGCTTACCATTACTTTGCCTTTGACATCTTCTGTAAGGATGGTTTCTGTAAAAATGTGAAAATATTTTGAAGAAGTTTTTGATGAATTGAATAGGGTGATTCTGATAAATTTCAAATGTTAAAACGGAGATTGTTTAAAGAGAATGTGATTTGATTCAAGTCAATTCATTAATTATCATTGACGATATTATTTCAGTTGACAGAATTGATAAGAAAAATCATGTTGTTGGAAGGTGAACAACAAGAGGAAGCAATGAAGCAAGCCAAAGAAACCCTAGAAGTGCTTGAAGGAGAGCTTAAAGGGAAGAAATTCTTTGGAGGAGACGCAATTGGCTTTGTTGACATCACTTTGGGATGGATTAGACTATGGTTGGGAGTCCTTGAAGAAACTTCAAATGTTCAAATATTTTGATTCTGAAAAATTTCCTTGTCTTGCCAAATGGGTGCTCAGTTTTCTTGATTTGCCCTTTGTCAAAGAAACCATGCCACCAAAAGATCAATTGGCTGACTTCGTGAAGAATGTCAGGCAAACTACACTAGCTTCACAAGCTGGTAAATGAGTTCTATTTTAGATTTTAATCATAAGATGGTGCAATAATACAAAGTTTGGTATGCCATATCGTATCGTAAATGTGATTTGGATAAAAAAATGAGCTAGACCGGGTATCGTAAATGTGATTTGGATAAAAAAATGAGCTAGACCGGGTACGAAAAATTTATAAATAGGTAATAAATTAGTAATCCGCACCGGTTTTTATATGGGTATCAGCAGGTATAGACCCGTTTTGCTGAGTTTATTCTATACAGCAATCTAAGCTAATCTTAGTTCTTGAACTACTTCTTCTACATTCTGTTAATCATGCATAGAAAAGTGTAACATGCCAAATTTCTATCTTGACAATTCCTAAATTTCCTGCTGTCTGTGATGGACCCAATTCAACAAGCCCACTTTGTGATATGGACCTATAAATTGAAGGCCTCGCTAAAATGGATAAGTGCCGTCAGAGAAGGTGGAAAAAAGTTAAATTACCAAGAAAAAGTGAAAAAATGCAATAAAAAATCATTTCAAAATTTAAAATGAATTAAATAATCAGAAAGTTTGAAACTCTTTATTAAAAGTTAATTGTTTAAACGATGTAAGCTTATCATTTAATCGATATTATATTTAAAATTTTATAACTATTTAATTTATTTCAGAATTTAGATGATGTTTTAATAGTGCATCCCAAAAACTCACATATTCTCACATATCTTATTAATTTAAGGTAAGAATGATGGAAAACGTTAACTTTACAAAGAGAAATATAAAAAAAGTCAATCAAAGATAAATGTTACTCTTGATTTTCATGATTTATCTCTCTCTCTTTTTCCCTTCTTTCTTTGACTTTTTCTTCTCGTCCGCATCACTTTGTAACCCCTTTTTGTATTTCTCTTTATAAGCCTAGCATTTCTCAAGAATTATGGGTGCGTTTGGCTTATTATTTCTATCCATATTCCCAATCTTATTCTCTAAATAATGTTTGGCACATTATTACCGAAATATTATCCTATTTTTTTAAATTATTTTTAGACCCCATAAGGTTATTAATTTCATTAAATATCCCCTAAAAAAAGTTTAAAAATTAACAAAAATACCCCCGTGACCTATACTTGCCAGATTCCGACAACCACCATCGGTGGTAGCCGGAATCTGCCACAACCGTGAATTACCGACCGAAATTGGTCGGTAATTCACTGATCTGGTCTTTTCTAGCCAGATTCACAGTGGATCTAGTCGGAAAAAGTCAGATCTGGCTGTCAGTGACGACCAAAGAAATGTCAAAGATGACCTTCTTTGGCCTTTTCCGGCCGTTGATGACCACATATGGTCGTAGATTTGGCCTTTTCCGGCCAGATCCGTGGTGGATATTGCCGAAAAAGGCCATAGTGACGCCATACCAGCCAGATCCAGCGATATGTATGGTTATGCAATTTTTCGACCAGATTCCGACGGTGGTGGCCAGAATCTGGCACTACAGGTGATGGGGCTCTTTTTATCATTTTACATATTTTTATATATTGCGGTATTTATTAAATTAGCGAACTTAGGGAGTTTTTTTATAAATTTTTAAATTTTATCTCATAATACTCCTATATTTAATTATTCAATACTATCTCCAAAATCATATCTAAAATAATAAATCAAACGGACCCTATAATTCCCAAATCTTTAAAAGAGAAAAAAATCATTGTTTTACCCCTGGTAAATCTTCGTATGTGTGTGTAAAAAATGTAAAATGATGATCACTAATCTCTACCCGGGATCGAACCACACAAACCCAGATGGGAAACTTGCCTAAGCTACTGCTACTACACCACCAAACCCAGAGACAAAGACAAGACACAAAGGCGGTGACTCAAAAACTTAACAAGAGTACATGTACAAGGGTACAAGGGGGTGACTCAATAAAGTCACGGTATTTCTTGCATTAGTTGAGATATAACATGGCACCTTGGCTTCATCCAGTAACTTTCACTCTAAATCCACCATCTTTTTCTGCCTATCACAGCTCACCACCTGGCTAAAATTTCAACCCTTAAGCTTTAGGGTCCGATATGACCATTTCTGCTCTCCACCCACAAAGGTAAAATTCTATATTTGGTCTCTAAAATTGTGTAGTTGGTATATTTGTTAAGTTTTATCATGTGGGTATATCGAATTTGGTTGGTTTATAGGGGGTTTGAAATGAGCTTTAGGGTTTGATATGGGCATTTCTGGTCACTGCTCACCAAGGTAAAGTTCATATTTTTGGTCTATAAACTGTAGTTTTGGTATTTTTGTAAGATTTTATAATTAGGGTGTTTCGATTTTGTTGATTTTGTTTTTTTTTTTTCTCAATGACGATTCTTTGTGTCAAGACTATTAAGGTTGGCTGTGTTATGATTTGGTGATTTAGTGGAGTTTTGTTCCGATTATGGCATTTCTATGGGATTTTGCTTATTGTTTTTGACTCAATTTTTCATTTTAAGCTTGGAAGTTATGGTGGTTGATTAACAAAAATTTATATTCATGGACTTACTGTTATTTTGTTTTCTCTGTTGTTGATAATTCAATAGTGAATTATTATTTCTAGTTTCTATATCCCAACTATGTACATACTCATGCTTATCATTTGTTTGCTGAGAAACTTAGGACGACTAGGAAATAAACTAATTGTGTTCCCCCAGCCTCCCAACCCAAACTTCCGCTTAACTGTGCTGATATAACTAGCCTGATTCGCATATGAAGTGTCTTCTCTTTATGGTTTTGTTGGCTTAATCAATCTCTGTGTTATTTACTGAGCATTTTATATGTAGTTCATTATTATGGTTTGTTGCTTGATATAAGCTTGCCGTTTATGTATTTCTTATGACTTACTCAGCCTTCCTTTTCAGGTAATATCAGCTGCACTAGGTTTGTGCTTTGACAGTTTTGAGTTTTTAACCGCTATGGAAGGTTTGGGGGGGTTAAGGTTCAGTAATGTAACTGGTGCTGCAAGGAAGAAGAGAAGTAATACATATCGTCGTCCTCGGAATGACTCTCAGCAACTGTCAGATTTTCGGGATATTTCATCCTTGTCATCCACACCACCTTCTGATAATGTAAGTGTCCAATGATGACAGTAATGATTGTAGTTCTATTCTTCAAAGAAAGTCATTTTAATCTTATGTGGTTCAAGGGCTACTTTTGATAACATTTTTGAGGTTCTTCTTCACAGAATATGGTCAAGATTGACGATGGAGGATCTGCAGAATCTGATGAAACTTCCAACAATGACTTTTTCCAAGGCAATAATGAGCAGAGGCGTAGAGTAGATAAATCCATGAGACAAAGTGAAGGTGTTCTTGCGCCAACTAACTGGAGACGCACTGGTAGCATGGGGCAATTTGGAGTTCTTCCTGATAGTGGAGGAAATGAAAATAAAGTTAAAAAGGTTAAGCTTAAAGTTGGTGGTATCACTCATACCCTTGATGGGAAGTCTGCACCAGATGGTCCTGCTGGTGCTGGGTCTTTTTCTACGAGGTCTTATTCCTATTCAGATGCCTCGCAACCACAGCAGAAGCTGGTTTTTCAGGTGAAAACCATTACTGAAGTTTGTACTCAAGTTTTCCAGTTATCCATATATTGCATCATTGACTGTATTGCAAACGAACAATTATGTATGTTAAGGGATTAAGTAGCACACGTGTTCAACCATGTGCTGTTTCAGAATTTTAAAATTTTACTTTTCTGGTTACATAAAGATGGTAACATTTATCCATGATTCTTCCGAAATTCATGTGTTCAATTGATTGGATAAACTGTTGCATTCTGTCTATGAAATATATTTTCTTGTTTCCCTTCTACTTGATTTCTAATTATTCTATTTCCATTTGTAAGCAACCATGTTTAGTGGCTCATTTGGTTGAGACTTACAGACTTGACCAGACATCTTAATTATGCATGCTTATTTTATATCATTTTTGGTGCAGGAAAATTCTGATGAAAACCGTTCCATTAGTTCAGATAATGGTGATAGCTTGCAAGGATATGCATTCAAGGATTTCTCTAACAGTGGTGTAAGAGAATATGGTTCTAAGAGTAAGACAGCTTACAGAAGCATATCTGCGAAGGAAACAGAAAAATATGAGCCAGTTCGAAAGAGCAAGCGGGTTGCTAAGAGACGTTCTATAGATGGAGATCTTGATGATGGAAATGATGATGAGGAGATTCGATACCTTGAAAAGGTAAAAAAATCTAAGATCAGCACGAACTATGGTGCAGAATATGAAGATGATGAGGAAGGAGGAAGCAGAAAGCAACGTAAAATATCAAGGGTATTAGAAAGGAATGTTGATGTCCTATATGATTCAAATGTGGATGATTATGGCTCCTTAAAATCAGGTAAGGTAGGTAAGAAGTTGAGATCCGGCAGAGTATCTGAAGATACTGATTATGTGGAAGACGAAGTATTGTCAGATGTTGAACCTGTAATCAACAAGAAGAAAGCAAGAAAGGAGTTTGTAGATTTGTTGGGAGATTCAAAAAAGGAAATGACAATCACCACTCGTCAACGTGCACTACAGACTGGCAAAGATGTCTCTTCCAGTTCTGGTGCAAGTCTAATTGAATTTCCCGAGGGATTGCCTCCTGCTCCACCAAGAAGTGAGTAAATTTTTTTCGTGTTCTTCTTATTGTAAAGGTTCTCTCTTGAGCATTTGTTAATCTTTTTGCATATTTCTATTGGTGCTGTTTGGTGACAGAGCAAAAGGAGAAACTGACCGAAGTGGAACAGCAACTAAAAAGAGCAGAGGCCCTGCAGAGACGTAGGATGCAAGTTGAAAAGGCAGCAAGGGAGTCTGAGGTTTGCCCTCTTCTTTTGTTGCATCTTGTTTGCCTCTCTGCTTTGCAAGTCGGTTACTTCATGAGGAAAGCATTAATTTGGGATTAAAATTTTAGGCTGAGGCAATCAGAAAAATACTAGGCGTAGATTCCACTAGGAAAAAGCGGGAAGATAAGATGAAGAAACGGAAAGAAGAATTGGCACAGGTAATAAATAGTACAAAATAAGACTACTTTTTCAATACCTTCTAACCGAATATTGATTTTAATTTGGGAGCTCCATATGCTATCCAGGAGAAGGCTGCAAATGCTATGATACTTGCATCAAACACTGTTAGATGGACCATGGGTCCTTCAGGGACATTCGTAACATTCCCCAATGAGGTGGGCTTGCCGAGTATCTTTGACCACAAAACTTGCAGGTATAGATCAGCATTCATCTTACCATTTCAAGTTTACGTTTAATTTTTCTTCAACTCTATTTACATGGTTTTGGTTTCCATGTGGATTTTCAGTTACCCTCCGCCGCGTGAGAAATGTGCCGGTCCATCATGTCCTAATCCATACAAGTACAGGGATTCCAAAACAAAACTCCCCTTATGCAGTCTCCAATGCTACAAGGCACTGCAGGAAAAAATGCCCTCAGTTTCTGCCTGTTGATCAGGTCATTACTTATTTCGATTTCGGCTTTCCAAGTAAACTGTTGACTACACCAACACCAACTTGCCCATGTAATACAATATTTACAACCATAATAAGCAGCTACTCGGCACCATTACTGTATAGTTAAAAGGTTAAAGTATGTATGTAGATCTCAAGAACTGGGCTGCTGAAGCCTGGAAAATATGGAGATTGTTCCTGTTTGATTGAAGAACACAAAGTTCTGTTGTATGTTGTAATGAATGTGGTTTGATACCATTATTATAAATCAACATATTAAAATATTGTTACTTATAACCAAATTATTAGATATGGTAGCCCAAAAATTTCAATAAATCGTCTGTAACAAGGAAACGGCGTCGTTTTCCTGAAGCTCAACATCCTATTATTGTTTCAAACTGGCCCCTTATTTTTTTATTTTGACAAAAAAACCCTTTAATTCTCTTATTTCAGTCCTTCCCTAAAACCCACAATCACCAACGTGGGGACCCCCCATTGCTCCACCAACGTGTAACTACAAAACCTTTCGCGCCACTTCAACTTCATCATCAATAGCTTATGTGGTTCAAGGGCTACTTTTGATAACATTTTTGAGGTTCTTCTTCACAGAATATGGTCAAGATTGACGATGGAGGATCTGCAGAATCTGATGAAACTTCCAACAATGACTTTTTCCAAGGCAATAATGAGCAGAGGCGTAGAGTAGATAAATCCATGAGACAAAGTGAAGGTGTTCTTGCGCCAACTAACTGGAGACGCACTGGTAGCATGGGGCAATTTGGAGTTCTTCCTGATAGTGGAGGAAATGAAAATAAAGTTAAAAAGGTTAAGCTTAAAGTTGGTGGTATCACTCATACCCTTGATGGGAAGTCTGCACCAGATGGTCCTGCTGGTGCTGGGTCTTTTTCTACGAGGTCTTATTCCTATTCAGATGCCTCACAACCACAGCAGAAGCTGGTTTTTCAGGTGAAAACCATTACTGAAGTTTGTACTCAAGTTTTCCAGTTATCCATATATTGCATCATTGACTGTATTGCAAACGAACAATTATGTATGTTAAGGGATTAAGTAGCACACGTGTTCAACCATGTGCTGTTTCAGAATTTTAAAATTTTACTTTTCTGGTTACATAAAGATGGTAACATTTATCCATGATTCTTCCGAAATTCATGTGTTCAATTGATTGGATAAACTGTTGCATTCTGTCTATGAAATATATTTTCTTGTTTCCCTTCTACTTGATTTCTAATTATTCTATTTCCATTTGTAAGCAACCATGTTTAGTGGCTCATTTGGTTGAGACTTACAGACTTGACCAGACATCTTAATTATGCATGCTTATTTTATATCATTTTTGGTGCAGGAAAATTCTGATGAAAACCGTTCCATTAGTTCAGATAATGGTGATAGCTTGCAAGGATATGCATTCAAGGATTTCTCTAACAGTGGTGTAAGAGAATATGGTTCTAAGAGTAAGACAGCTTACAGAAGCATATCTGCGAAGGAAACAGAAAAATATGAGCCAGTTCGAAAGAGCAAGCGGGTTGCTAAGAGACGTTCTATAGATGGAGATCTTGATGATGGAAATGATGATGAGGAGATTCGATACCTTGAAAAGGTAAAAAAATCTAAGATCAGCACGAACTATGGTGCAGAATATGAAGATGATGAGGAAGGAGGAAGCAGAAAGCAACGTAAAATATCAAGGGTATTAGAAAGGAATGTTGATGTCCTATATGATTCAAATGTGGATGATTATGGCTCCTTAAAATCAGGTAAGGTAGGTAAGAAGTTGAGATCCGGCAGAGTATCTGAAGATACTGATTATGTGGAAGACGAAGTATTGTCAGATGTTGAACCTGTAATCAACAAGAAGAAAGCAAGAAAGGAGTTTGTAGATTTGTTGGGAGATTCAAAAAAGGAAATGACAATCACCACTCGTCAACGTGCACTACAGACTGGCAAAGATGTCTCTTCCAGTTCTGGTGCAAGTCTAATTGAATTTCCCGAGGGATTGCCTCCTGCTCCACCAAGAAGTGAGTAAATTTTTTTCGTGTTCTTCTTATTGTAAAGGTTCTCTCTTGAGCATTTGTTAATCTTTTTGCATATTTCTATTGGTGCTGTTTGGTGACAGAGCAAAAGGAGAAACTGACCGAAGTGGAACAGCAACTAAAAAGAGCAGAGGCCCTGCAGAGACGTAGGATGCAAGTTGAAAAGGCAGCAAGGGAGTCTGAGGTTTGCCCTCTTCTTTTGTTGCATCTTGTTTGCCTCTCTGCTTTGCAAGTCGGTTACTTCATGAGGAAAGCATTAATTTGGGATTAAAATTTTAGGCTGAGGCAATCAGAAAAATACTAGGCGTAGATTCCACTAGGAAAAAGCGGGAAGATAAGATGAAGAAACGGAAAGAAGAATTGGCACAGGTAATAAATAGTACAAAATAAGACTACTTTTTCAATACCTTCTAACCGAATATTGATTTTAATTTGGGAGCTCCATATGCTATCCAGGAGAAGGCTGCAAATGCTATGATACTTGCATCAAACACTGTTAGATGGACCATGGGTCCTTCAGGGACATTCGTAACATTCCCCAATGAGGTGGGCTTGCCGAGTATCTTTGACCACAAAACTTGCAGGTATAGATCAGCATTCATCTTACCATTTCAAGTTTACGTTTAATTTTTCTTCAACTCTATTTACATGGTTTTGGTTTCCATGTGGATTTTCAGTTACCCTCCGCCGCGTGAGAAATGTGCCGGTCCATCATGTCCTAATCCATACAAGTACAGGGATTCCAAAACAAAACTCCCCTTATGCAGTCTCCAATGCTACAAGGCACTGCAGGAAAAAATGCCCTCAGTTTCTGCCTGTTGATCAGGTCATTACTTATTTCGATTTCGGCTTTCCAAGTAAACTGTTGACTACACCAACACCAACTTGCCCATGTAATACAATATTTACAACCATAATAAGCAGCTACTCGGCACCATTACTGTATAGTTAAAAGGTTAAAGTATGTATGTAGATCTCAAGAACTGGGCTGCTGAAGCCTGGAAAATATGGAGATTGTTCCTGTTTGATTGAAGAACACAAAGTTCTGTTGTATGTTGTAATGAATGTGGTTTGATACCATTATTATAAATCAACATATTAAAATATTGTTACTTATAACCAAATTATTAGATATGGTAGCCCAAAAATTTCAATAAATCGTCTGTAACAAGGAAACGGCGTCGTTTTCCTGAAGCTCAACATCCTATTATTGTTTCAAACTGGCCCCTTATTTTTTTATTTTGACAAAAAAACCCTTTAATTCTCTTATTTCAGTCCTTCCCTAAAACCCACAATCACCAACGTGGGGACCCCCCATTGCTCCACCAACGTGTAACTACAAAACCTTTCGCGCCACTTCAACTTCATCATCAATAGCTAGGAGTCCGAATTTTAACAAGATAAAAACACTTGAAAGTAAAAGCTATGTAATTTCTTTGTAAGTTCCTCGTTAAATGTTGAGAACACATTTAAATCAGTCACTAATTTTTCTTTGGTAAATCCTGACAACTTCATCCCATTCTATGTCTTGAACTTTCTCGTTGAAGTGTTTCATGTTGAAATAAAAACTTGATTCTTTCTCAAGCTTACACAAACACAGAAAATATTAAATATGGAATTCCAATCAAATAATTTTCAACCAAAACATCCAATTTCTAATATTTGCTAAGACCCNGTAAGTTCCTCGTTAAATGTTGAGAACACATTTAAATCAGTCACTAATTTTTCTTTGGTAAATCCTGACAACTTCATCCCATTCTATGTCTTGAACTTTCTCGTTGAAGTGTTTCATGTTGAAATAAAAACTTGATTCTTTCTCAAGCTTACACAAACACAGAAAATATTAAATATGGAATTCCAATCAAATAATTTTCAACCAAAACATCCAATTTCTAATATTTGCTAAGACCCAACACTAGACATATTTTTCCAACTTCTACAATTTTCTTCTGTTTATATATAATTCATATATAAATAGAAGAAATTAATGGCATGTTGTGTCTTCAGGGGCTCTCGTCCATCATTTGGTATAAAAATAACAATGGATTCCCATCCATATTATATGGATGGGAGTCCATTTCCTCTAGATGGGCGTTCACCTCATATGGATGTCCGTCCATAAATTTTAAAAAATATAATAATAGATATGGTAGAACACTGACCTATAAAGTATAAACCACCAAGATACACACAATAAATCTATCCAATACGAGTTCAACAATCAATAAGCACATGAAAGAAAAGGAAATAAACTCTATATTGGTATTAAAACAGAACAATACATCCAAAGATCATGTTCTATCATCTACCCAGCAATCAAACAACAAATTAGAACAATTCTAAGTACAACAAAAACAAAGATAAAGACTGAACTTCGAAGGTCAGTCACCTCCCCTTCTAAACCTTATTCTTCTTTCTGAATATCCCTCAATTCCCTTTGTTCCCCACTTTTATTCTCTGACACCTTTTGCACATAACCGAATTCTTCCTCCTTCCAATCTCATTAAGCCACCTGTCCTCCCAAAAACAACTCCTAATACTCATGCATAACAAACATTCCTCTACTTCTCACCTCTACCCTTCCTACTGTAGATATGGACGAGCATCTTGATGAGCCACTTGGGAGGCTTGTCTACAGTAGGAAGGGTATGGACGGTCGTCCGTATTATATGGACAACCGTCTATATGCAAATAAATTTTTTTTCTGCAGGGAGGAAGACTGTTTAAGGTTGATGTAAAGATGGAATTTCTTCTGCAGGGAAGAAGACGTGGCAGTGATCAGTTGGCTCTTTCATCGCCTAAGCTGCAATATGTTAGTGAAATAAGTGGATCCGAGGAAGGTCAAGTTGAATCATATTGTTTATCAGATGCTGGGTTGACCGCACTTGCTGAAGGCTTTTCGAAGCTTGAAAAATTGAGCTTAATCTGGTGCTCTAACATATCCATTGTGGGTTTAATGTCCCTTGCTTACGAGTGTATATACTTGAAATCTTTAGATTTATAGGTATTTGTTAAACTTTTATCTTAATATTTATTACTCTTTTAGGTATCAATTCTTGGATATTCTTTTATATATCATCTTCTCCTACTGTATTAGGAAGTGAGTTTATTGAAGCCAGCATAATCTTTTTGAAATCTATTTCGGAGTGCAGGTGTCATTCAAGCCTGTACATTGTTGACAGAGGCCTCCATATTGGGAATTAAGTTTTTATATATTTGGGAGGAAATTTTGGGACTAAACCTGCATACATGTGTCCTATTTGAGATTTGTTTTAAAAAAATAAAAAATATTTGCTTATAGATGGTCATCCATATAATATGGACGACCGTCTATTTTAAATGGATGCTTGTCCATATAATATGGGCGGACATCCATTACTATATTTTTAAAAATTAAAATGGACTCCCGTCCATATAATATGGACGAAAGTTTATTGTTATTTTCGTATCAGATTGATGGACGAGAGTCCATTTATAATGAATGACCGTCCATCAAATATGAATAAGCGTCCATGATTGTTGCATAGTTGTTCATTCATGGAAGAACGTATTAGTGTCTAACGTGGTCGTATCTGACTTGAATGTTGTGTATGTTGGTACAAAAATTTGATGGCAATAATAGCTGTCCATAGCATTATTGTAATATATTTCCCTCTAATCAACATAAAAAATAAAAAAAATAAAAAATTATTTGTGTATAGATGGTCATCCATATAATATAGACAACAGTCCATTTTAAATGGATGTTTGTCCATATAATATGGGCGGACGTCTATTACTATATTTTTAAAAATTAATGGACGGGCATCCATATGAGGTGGACGCCTATCCAGAGGAAATAGACTTTCGTCCATATAATATGGACGGGAGTTTATTGTTATTTTCGTATCAAATTGATGGACAAGAGTCTATTTGTAATGAATGACCGTCCATCAAATATGAACAAACGTCCATGATTGTTGCATAGTTGTTTATTCATGGAAGAACGTGTTAGAGTCTAACATGGTCGCGTCTAACTTGGATGTTGTGTACGTCGGTACAAATATTCGATATCAATAATAGGTGTTTATAGCATTATTGTAGTGTTGTCTACATTTCCCTCTAATCAAATCATCCATTATAAATGTATGAATTGGACTACTCATTGGACGTATGGGTCGGGCCATTACTATTCCAGCAAGCTTTGGGCCTTTCAGTAGCCCATAGGTCCAATCATCCATAACATATTTATTTAACAATTAAAATATTAAATATTTAAAATTGTTAAGAATTTCCATACAAAATGTTATATTATTTATCATAAATTTGTGAAAAAATAAATAAATGTGATTACCTAACTTTTTCAGGTGGGTTGGCCCCGTGGTGAAAATCGATGGGCTTTTTGGTATACTTTTTTTAATGGGATTTCTGAAACCTTATTCTGAATAGGATATGATATGATTCTAAGAATGTGTATGATACATTATTGGAAAATATTTTCTAAAAATATTTAGATTATTTTTAACCTTCTACATTGGTTAATTTAGCTAAACACCATCTCACAATAAAAGTTTATAAATTAACAAAAACACCCCCACCTATCCAATCCACTGGCAACAGCCGGCCACTACCGTTGGACGGTGGCCATCAATCGTCGGAATGGCACACGATCAGTTGAATCTGGCCGGTCGTGCATCGATCTTGCCTTTTCTAGTCAGATCCACCGTGTATCTGATTGGAAACAGCTAGATTTACAGCCAGAATTTAGCCGTCGTTAACAGCTAGATCTTTGACCTTCGTTAATGGCCAAAATCTAGCCATCAACAATGGCCAAGTTATGGTTGTCATCAACGGTCAGATAGATATGGCCGTTAACAACTAGATTTAGCCGAAAAACGATAAGATCGGTGCACAATCGGCTAGATCTGGTCGATCGTATATTGTTTTGACGTCGACAGCTACGGGCATCCGACAATGGCTTAGGTTTATGAGGTTTTTTTTTTTTTTTTTTTTGTTAATTTATAAACTTTTATTGTGAAAGATAATTGTTAAATGTTTTGAGTTAAATATAATAAGTTGGATTTTGAATTGAATAGTAAATATTAAAACAAACACGTTTTTTACTATTTTGGATAGAATAGAGTTTGTAAAGTTTAGCAAAGAAGCAACGTCACTTGATGAGTTTTAAGTTAAAGCGTGGTGGATAATGTAACCATATTTAATTATCCATTTAGGAAGCGTTTGGTTCAGGGAATGTTGTATTACTGGAAAGATAGATTACTAAGAAATATTTAGAGAAATGTGTTTGGTTGATTGAAATAAATTTGTGAGTATGTTATAATAATATATTTGGTTGGAAGGATGAATGAGTGTGTATGTTATGTAAATTACTATATTATTCTCCTTTTTAAATAATAATATAATATTATTTTATTCGATTATTTTTTAAATTATTTCTTGTAACCTCCTATAATTGGTTTTGCTAAAACAACCCAGCCATATAAAACTTTAATTTATAGCAAAATCACCCCTATCCACCCAAAGTCACTGCTGGTAGCCAGCCACCACCGACGCCAGCCATCGTAATGACTCACAACCAGCTGGATTTGGCTGGTTGTGCGCCAGTAAGGCCTAATTCGACCATGGATCAAAGATTCATGGCAAAAAATGAATAGATCTTGTCGTGAATATGGCTGTTTCACAGCCAAAGATGTGTGTAATACCCAAGATATCAAATGTATGTTCCTAACTCAAAATAGTCCTTTAGATGTTCATTTTATGTTAAAAAGCATAAAATCTAACTAAGGGCAAAATAGTCAATTCATTTGGAACGGTATGAATCAATTATCCATAAAGAGGCTTAGGGGTAAAATGGTTATTTTGCCTATGGATAAGCATTGAAAAAGTCAAGGATGAGTAGGCTTCATTGCATTTAATGGCATTAATTAAGTAATAATTATGTCTAGTGTGAAATGACCAAAATGCATGATATGAAGAATTAAGGACTTATGAGTTATCAATTAAAATAATTGGGCCAATTGCATAATTTTGAAAAAAAATGAAATATTTTCCTATAAATGAGATGAATTTCGTTCAAGCCAAAGAGAGCTT